ATGGGAAAGTGTTGAGAGATTTGTCATGGGAAACTGGAGAGAGCAATATTTTCAGTTGCATGGTCTAGAGAACAGTAGATAATTAACCTGGGAAAGTTTGGAAAAAATCACAGAGTCAGAACATGGGAAGGTATAGAGAGTATTAACAAGGAAAAGTGTAAACAGTAATGACAGGGGAAAGTCTAGAGAGCAACAGAAGGAGAAAGTAGGAACAAATCAAAGGGTCAGAACATGGGAAGGCTTTAGCAGCAATATTAACAGAGGAAAGTGTTCACAGTGATAACATAAATTTAGAAAGGGATATGTGAATGTCTATCAAAAAGGGAAAGTCTAGAGAGAAACAGAATAGGAAAGTTTAGTGGAACAATGTTATCAGAAATATTCACAAAGTAAGAACATGGAAGATCTAGAGATCATTATCAACACAGGAATTTAAGAGTAAACAGTGAAGAAATTGGGAAATTTAGAGAGCAACAACATGTGAAAGTCAAGAGTTTGCAACAAAATGGGAAAATTTAGAGAGAAACAGAATGGAAAAATTCTCGGAGTAAGAGCATGGGAAAGTCGAGGGAGCAGGAACATTGGAAAGTCGAGAAAGCAATAACGTGAGAAAGAAACCAATTAAATGGGAATATTTGGAAAACAACAATTGGGAAAATTCTGAGAGCAAACATGAGAAAGATACTCTGCGTGATAATATAGGAAACAAAAAACACATGAGCAAAATCATGATATGGAGAGCCAAAAAATGGCAAAGTTTGGAAAAGCAATAATAATTGAAAGATTCTCAGAGCAACAATGTGGAAAAATCTAGAAGAAAATGGAAAAGTTTAGAGAACAACAAAAAATGAAAATTTGGAGAACATTAATATGGGAAGATTTTAAGAGCAACAACAAGGTAAAGTCCAGAGAGCAATAAAATGGGAAAGTTTATAGAGCAATAAAATGGGAAAGTTTATAGAGCAATAAAATGGGAAAGTTTATAGAGCAATAAATGGGAAAATTTATAGAGCAATAAAATGGGAAAGTTTATAGAGCAATAAAATGGGAAAGTTTATAGAGCAATAAAATGGGAAAGTTTAAAGAGCAACAAAATGGAAAAGTTTTTAGAAAATTGAGAGAGCAAAAAATGGGGAAGTTGAGAGAGAAAAACATGGGAAAGTTTTAGAGACCAGGAAAGTTCAGACAGGAATATATAATAGTCCCTTGAGAGGGACAACATTTGAAGGTAAGTCTTATTTTAAAGAAACAGCATGGGAAAGTTTTGAGAGTTTTACCTTACTGTGTGTACTCTTATATATTAGTGAGACTTTCTATTTATATCTGGTGTATACAAACTTAGCAGTGATCTCATGTTAACCTAGGTCACCTCATTACTGACCCAGATAGACAACATGACAACAACTCCAAAGCCTGGTCTGGCCTTGGTTGGGATTTAATTCTCTAAGATGTTTCTGGTGTACTAGTTTAGATCTGTATTAGATCAAAAGGGATTAGTGCTTACTGCTAGATCAGCCCATGGATAGGATATAGAACTGGTGGTCTGGTATATACAGGTGTATGGAAGTTGGAACTAGATCATTTAAAAAGTGTCAAACAAGTGCTTATATATAGATACTGGTGAACATGTACCCAAACCTACAGGTGTATATAATGGAAATGTAAAGATCTTTTAACAGGAAATTAATCCAGAAAAATACAAAACACTGTATAGACATTTAGTTAAACCTTCGTAGTCACATTTTGTTGTACAGCAAGCTTAAAGTACCTCCACAGGTTTTTTCTACAGTAGATATTTTGGTACAGGGCACCTGGCTCAAAATTAGGAAAATTAAGCAAAATAATTATGAGATTTCGAATATATGAAAATAAAATTTATTGCAAATGCTCACGTAATGTTTCATTATGCTGTGGATTAAGAAAAAGAAAATTATTTACTGGTACAATGTTGTAAGTTTTTCATTTGTACCTCTTGAATATATTACAAAAAATCTTTCATTGTTCAAAATAATTATGAAAAACTGATAATGTATAAAATGGAATTAATTTCCCTTTGTGAAAGCTTCAGGAGATGAACACTTTTATTGGCATTTTGACACCTTATAGAAAAGTTTGAAAAAAAGAATGTGCTAAATGTGGAGTTGTTATATAATCACACTCTAGATTTATGTGACAGCTATCAGAATGTCATTTATTATGTTTCGGCTTGCTTAACCTAAACACAGACATTTCTATCCCACATGAGTTTAAATCATGTCTTTATCTTTCCTGCATGTTTTTATAGACAAAAAAAATAAAATTAATGTTCAAATTTATTTTAAAACATCAATTTTGAAAATTTTGTCTTGACTTTGATTGGCTTCATAAATTCAAGAATGCTTAATTAAGCTTGCTTTGGCCAGACAGTTTTATTATGTTCACAATTTTCAGAAATACTTTAATTTCTGTTTCACCATATCAAATGGCAAAGAAAATTGTGAAATTTTAAATTATTTGATACATATTTAGATTCTTAGTTTCTGTTTCTTTTATATGAAATTCCCTAAAATTGCTTGAATTCTGTTATATCATAAAACATAATTTTTTTTTATCAAAGTGAATGAGCTACTGAAATTTGATAACAGTTTTAAACGTGGAGCTGAATGTTTTATGAAATCCTGTGTTTAGCTCATATTGTCACAACCGAGTCTTAACCTACGTTAGCTTGTCTGACTTCTACCTTATTTTTTGTTCTACACCTTACAGAGATTTTCTTGTTTGTAAACACAGGAAGATGTATGAACACACATGTTATATATGTCCACAACCTCATACAAACAAAAGGTCACCCACAACTTGTACAGAGTGCAGTCCCCTGCCTCCAGGTCTTGTGATAACAATGCCACAAACAGACTCAAGGTCATACTAGCAGTGACCTTTACCTCTGAGGTTATGACCCCAGGCAAATGGAGAAGGGAGAAAATAGATTGGTTGTCATTCCCCTCCCCTCACATTTTCCACTCTTTCATCTGAGCTCAGTTCAAGAGCCCTGACATAAAGTTTTTTGTCTCATCTGTCATGTCAGTGAGAGGCTTTGAAGTCTCGGTCTGGGGGAAGCTTGAATGTTTGACCTCAGTTTCTAATGTGTGAACTTATATTGGTTGCCATGGGACAGAAACAAACGTTTTTCATCTTTTGATTCATGAATTCGTGTAGATCATGTATCATGGAACAAAGAAATACTGTGTTTAGAACTGAATAGTGTAGCTTTACTCTATGCAGTGGAGTTTTTATAGCAGTATTAAATATCATTTGATACATATTTTCTATGAGTGAAGAATATGTTATTGTTTCGTTCCAGTTTGATGTTGTTTCTGTTAACTGCTTGGCCCCAAAATGACCATACTGTTTTCAATCGATCAGGTGTAGTTTATTCATAAAGAATCGGTCAAATAAGAAACAGAATTTATCAGTATTTGAATAAAATCATTTTGCATAAATAAATATGCTAAACCCCCCCCCCCCCCAGATATGTCTCTGGATTCGCCACTGCCTTTGTGGTATTAAGTCTAGTAAGGATCCGGACGTAGATACACGACGTGTGTAATTGGTAATTGTAGAAACATTTTTTCCTGAAACGTAATACCTCATATTTTGACTATTTTACCAATCCCAAAATTAATTCCCAATGATAAAGCTGTAGATCAGGATAAAAGATTGGCAATGGACAGCGGTTACTGCTTACTGTAGGAAACGATACAGCAGCGTTCTGGTGGCAGAAGTTGTCTAACTAAGAAAACCAACCAGACAACTCGAGGAAACTATAAAATCTGGAACAGACCCATTCAAGTTATATATATTTTACTGGAACCACTCGAGGTTCCCTCATCGTACAAAATATGGTTTGCTGAGGTTTTAGCAATATAGCGACAATATTTATAAAAATATTTAAGTGGTATATGTGCAAAAATCAAGGCAGTCGTTCAGTGCATATTTCAGCTATGTTTAGAATTATTCATAAAGATAACATTTAAAAACCAATCTAACTGCTAAATTGAAACGAGGATATTTTCAAGTTGTGTGATTGGCATAGCATTCAATTTATTCTGTTTATCAAAAAGCCTTGGGAAATTCATGAAGTAATAAAAAAAGGAATTAATTTTGATCAGTAACTCCTTGTAATAGATTACGAATTCTGCTGCTGGTGTTCCTGAATATCATAACTTTTCGTGATTGAGATAAAAATTCCCAGATCAAAGTGGATAACAGACTGATGGTATGTGTAAATGCATTCTGTGAACAATTTTTATATTGCTAATGCATGTTGACTGGTTCATTAAATATACATTTTTCAGTTTTACAAGTTTGACCTGTGCTTGCCAGTCATTTATGCATCACCAAACTGCTGTTTCCTAAAAAATAGGGACACAGTTCAGCTCGTCAACCGCTTTTAGTTTAACGTGTTGTTAGTTTTTTCGCAAATATTTATAGAGCAGTAGATAAAGATAGATATATGAAGGAATTTTGAATTCTTATTCATTCCAAATGAGTTACTATATCAACAACACATTTCCATTTCCATTATATCAAAATTCAGAAACTGAAAAAAAACATTACATGTGTTACCTGGCTTCAATAAACCTTTTTAAAAATTCATGGATAATTTTCTTTATACGTGCATAAGCACCTTTCATCTCATGATATTAAGGCACAGTCAATAGCCAATGATATTTTGTCAAATTGTTAGCCTACTCATTTAAGTGCTGAGCTGTGCAAATGGATTTTCGCCTGTGGTTTGTCGAAGGTTCATTATAACTTATTTGTCGAGTTTCATTTAGTCTGCAAAAAATATTTGCTATCACTATTTCTCAGAGACTCCTGAAGGAATTGTGATGACATGTTAAGATTGCTTCTGTTAATTCTTTGGAAGTACTAAAGGATTATAATGAAACTAAATAAACCTTATAACCACAAGAGTTTATTTTCACAATTTACATGTAGATGTTTTTTGTGTTTTTCAGATGTTACCATAACAACCAGCACTATGGGTTAGAGAGAGAGCCAACACCACCAGTATCCATGACAACCCCTAGGGAAGAATTATTGTTCCGTTTAATTTATAGAAAGTTCTAAATCTCCATCACAATGGGTAAGTATTTTAATTTCTGAAAGATGCCAAAAACTGTATAATATCCGTTTCTTTTAACTCATCCACCCCGCTAATTTCATAATGAACTAATCCAACCTTTGAATTGGAAAAGTTCAAGTGTGTCTTCAGGGATAAATGAGTTAATTGATATGTCTGAAAAAAACTTTTTCAACAGTACTTGATCAAGTCCTGCAAATTTTGTATGAAAATAAACATACCTCATAAAATATGGGTGATTTACAAAATTTGAAACTTTGACTGACTTTATGTCACACTCAAACTGTTCTCAATCGAAAGGAAATAAGGGGAAGATATCACTGTTTTTGCTGTTCCTTTGTCAATCATTAAGGATCCCAGTACCATTGCCGGAAACTAAAAATTCATTAGAAACACATTTCCTCCATCACTATAGCTTTGATTTGGAAAAGAAAACGGTTCGTTGCAGAACTTTCATGAAAGATATAAAAGATGGAACGAACAAAAATAAACAAAAGTGAAGTAAGTAGTGTTCTGATTGTTTATGCAACAAGGTCATACCAAGATTTGATTCCTGGACCCGCGACCGTTATACAGTGGCTTTAAGAAACAAAGCTACCATGTCAACAGTAGTATCTTAGCCTGGTCTATTATAGTAATATCCAGAAAAAAACCTAAATGGAGGTAATATTGCATAGCTATATACAATGGAGTTCTCTTGTGTTTTATTTGCAATGGGACTGGGATCCTTAAGGAAAATATTTCAGTATTAACACATTCACCCCTGAAGACACATTTGAACTCTTCCAATTCAAAGGTTGGAATAGTTCATGATGAAATCTCGGGGTTGAATGAGTTAACATAGCTAGTAAAATAAATTATTTCTGTTGGTGAACCTTAATCTCCATAGCTACATTATCCAGGACAGGTAAGCTTTGCGTTCAGCAGTAGAATGTGCAGAAAAAGATTGAAAGGTTGGATCACTTAAACTCAGACATTCATGTATATACCAAGTTACATGTCTTTGTTCCAGTCTACCCATCTGTACAAATGTGTAACAGCATGACAGCAAGTAATTCTGTGATAGACTAACGTCATATTAGTAGAAGTAATATGGCCTAATTCACAGAAACTAGGAATTACTGTTAACGTTTGATCACTAAGTTTGAAAAGACTTCCCTTGATGCCTTGACCATCAAACCAGGTTTATACAGGCTGCTCATTGTTAAACCACATACAGCCATAGCAAGCAGTTCAATGACTTTAACCCTTTCACCCCTATGTAACTTTAGTTGACTCTACCATGAATTGATATGGAGGGGTCCAATATGGTCTACAGTGGTGAAAGGCTTAATAGAAAATGAAGCAGCCTCTTTTCCGCTTCAAAACATGGCAAACAATTAACACTACCCATATGCTCATTCCACCCCGACCTGTTGTGATTCATTTTTGTATTTTCATCAAAGTTGTATAAAAGATTTCAGCATGTGAATACTTCGCATGAGTGGGTGAGTTTGTATTTCAGGGTCCCAAGGTCATTGCCAAGGTCATTTTGCTATTTATAGGTCAACCACAGGGTCAAGAGGGCATTCATGTCTTACCAATGTTTTCTAGTTTTACCGAATTTCAAAAATAAAATAGAATTAGAGAAGTGAAGGATTAAACACCTGCACACTGTAGAAGATGTTTTTATTTACGTAATTTCCAAGTTGATGATTAGTGAAAAATAATGAATCTCATGTTACAAGTTTGATGTATGTTGTTGATATTCCCTGCATGGACAAATTGTCCTATAGTGCTGTATTTTATGTAACTCTTTCTTTTCACAAAATAGGATTAACGCAGTAAATTTAAACGTGCACATTTCACATGGGAAACATGTAAACTGAACAGGATTAAATAATCCTCATTCTGCATACAAACTTCCCATACAGCTGCCTTCAACCTCCCCGACTTTCTCACAGTTCTTAACATTTTTGTAAATACAGGTTTTCAATAGAAATGTTGAAGTTCATGCAGTGAGTTACAACAAAACGTAAAACCTTACATACTGGTTCTCTACCTGTCAGATGTGACCTCCGTGTTTTGTGTCACGGATATAATGGTGGTAATTGCTGGTACGGCTAAATGAATGAAGTTATTTACCCTACCTATGACATCCTCCGACAGCTGGTTTATAAATCTGGTTGGCTTAATACCAATTGTGTAAATAAAACAAAATCTTGTAATGATAAACTTGTTATTATTATTGTTTAATTTTTTTTCCTTCTAATTTTGAAACATCTCTGAAAAAGATATTAAAATTGAACTAATGTAATTTGATAGGAGGAAATGAGAGATAGTTTATCAGTAAGCTAAGCTGCCTGAATAACATTGACATGAATCCTTTATGCCTCAAAAGATTGTTTAGGTGCTATTCAGTGTAATTGATACCGTAAATATAGGAAATTATACATCAATTTGTGTTCGATTTTCTGCAATCTATAAATATCGCCGCCGGTTACCGATCGACAGCTGGAGGTGGGTTTACAGGCTTCTCAAACAGTTTGACGTCGCAATATGTCCTAATTGCTCTACATATATGAATGAGGCTCAGAAATAGCTTTTCATTGGAGCCACTTATATCTAGTGATCATTCATCAACACTCATAATGGCTTTTGGAGCCATTTGTATTAAATTGTCGATTCCGTCAAATTTTCAAATTTTTTGAAACTGTTTGAAAAGCTACAGTACACAGTGTTACGTCTTTCGACAATGAGTTTTTCTAATTATAGCAAAATAGGGGGAGATAACTGATAAACGTTGTCGGTGCCTGTATACATGGTGCTGGGGATTGAAGGTACCCGTTACGTGGGATGAGGTCTTTGTAGCTTCAATATTGTCTTTCTTTAAGTAGTGGTTACCACCCGACGCCTAGTAACTCTGACGTAAGAGGTGACGCTACTAGTAAGGCTATCTCGCCTAAGAAAGGACTTCGTAAGTGTCACTGGCATTTGATATTATCAGTGCCTGGAGATTGATGATACACCTGGTATTTTGATTGGATAATTAAAATGTTAAGTCCACTGTAACTGTTGCTAGGGATATTTAGGTGTGATGGATCTTAAATATCAAAGCTGATCAGTTGATTTCAAAAAGAACTATTTCCTATATAAATTATCACAGGGATTCATAAACAGTTTCAGATTCACAGACAGTGGTTTTGCATTGTGTTTTTGTATCAATATAGAAGCAAAATAATTGCAAGGGATTCCAGGTTTTAAAAATAAAATCCTTCGCATAACCCAATTGATCTCCTGCTTTTGAAAAGGCCAGCACTATCACTAACAATTAAATAATATATTTTGACTTTATTTTGACGAGCACTAACAGATAAATAATGCTTGCACTTTTATAAGTTTCTACAGGGAATATAATAAATTACATTGACAAATTGGGGAGTTGTTCCCCTTGGCAAACTGACTTTAAGACATGCCACAACCACACATCTAAGATGTAGGACAGTGTCAAGGAATTAGGTCAAAGATGTAGGACAGTGTCAAGGAATTAGGTAAAAGTTGTAGGACAGTGTCAAGAAATTAGGTCGAAGATGTAGGACAGTATCAAGGAATTAGGGCAAATATGTAGGAAAGTGTCAAGGAATTAGGTCAAAGATGTAGGACAGTATCAAGAAATTAGGTCAAAGATGTAGGACAGTATCAAGGAATTAGGTCAAATATGTAGGAAAGTGTCAAGGAATTAGGTCAAAGATGTAGGACAGTATCAAGAAATTAGGTCAAAGATGTAGGACAGTGTCAAGAAGTTAGGTCAAATATGTAGGACAGTGTCAATGAATTAGGTCAAATATGTAGGACAGTGTCAAGAAATTACGTCAAAGATGTATGACAGTGTCAGGAAATTACGTCAAAGATGTAGGACAGTGTCAAGAAATTACGTCAAAGATGTAGGACAGTGTCAAGAAATTATGTCAAATATGTAGACGTAGGACAGTGCCAATTAAATAGGTCGAAGATTCTTTAATAACATACTTCCAGAATCAAGTGCAAAAAAGCAATATTTATATCTATACTGAAAGGTAAATCTGATGCCAAACAAAGCACAGTTTAAAAAACAATGCTAACAATTATTCTGTTAATAATTGACGTTTTCTATGAAACAATACTCTACAATTTAATTTGATATGTCACATTCTTACCCTGGGCACATACATCAGAAAAATTACATACCGGATGTAGGCTCAAGGTTTCCAGTTCAGAAGTATCTGATTGGCCAATCAATAAAATCACCGAATCTGATTGGTTGAATGATTTGGGTAGGTCTTAGTCCTGTAACATAATAATAAAAACATGACATCAGTACCGTGGGCAGTACCTGTGTATATGTATCTGGTGTTATTAGATAGACACTCTGTCCTGATGTATACATGTTCCACATGACCTAGTTAGGACAATTAACTGAGTCTGTTGAACTTAAAAAAATTGTATCAGATTCACCTGGAGGGAGAAATACTATTTAGTGGGAGAAAAACACTTCCACATTCATATACATCCCTTATTGTTACCAAATAAAGCTTATGATGAGGTGTATATCCCTAGGAACTAAATCAACAAAAAAATCTATAAAGACATCTTTACCCATACAGTTTTATAGTATAATCAGGTATGTATACTTTACCCATACAGTCTTATATTATAATCGGTTATGTATACTTTACCCATACAGTCTTATACTATAATTGGGTATGTATACTTTACCCATACAGTCTTATATTATAATTGTGTATGTACACTTTACCCATACATTCTTGTATTATAAACGGGTATGTACACTTTACCCATACAGTCTTATATTATAATCGGTTATGTATACTTTACCCATACAGTCTTATACTATAATTGGGTATGTATACCTTACCCATACAGTCTTATATTATAATTGTGTACATACACTTGACCCATACAGTCTTATATTATAATTGGGTATGTACACTTTACCCATACATTCTTGTATTATAATCGGGTAT